TAAGCTGCTCAGTCCAAGGCATTTTTGTTATAGCTGCTTGAACAGACTAAATAACCATGTAAATACTTTCATTACCTTGTTCACACTCTGTTGGATGTGTACTTGCCTCCCATTACATTCTCAGAAAGCATTTCTGGAGCTTATTCATCTTTGTTCTCAGTACGTAGTAGATGATCAGTAGATTGCTGAACCAATAAATGAATGCCTAGATTGAAATCAGGGTAGAGAGCTTGAGTGTATAACTGACTTCATCAAACTTTTTTGATTACATTGTAGAGGGTGATTTTTTTTTTTTTTTTAAATAGTCCAGTAGTCATATTTTTGGCACCATATTATATACAGGATAAGAAATCAAGTTTATTCAAAATGATTGCTTAATTATGCACACTTGAAATATGTGGGGCTTAATTAATGGTGGTTGATAGTAAATCATCCAGGTAAAATATATTAACTTCCGAATACATGCTAATCCTATGCATAGGTGTATTATTAGTCAAAGTAATTTATTATTTTTCTTGATTTATTTTTCCCCAAAGTATTCAAGCATTCAAAACGGTAAAGTATTTTACTTACTAAAAATGTCTCAGCCCATTAAAAAAAATAGTTAAAACCTCTCCAGAATATTTCTCATTCCCACAGAGAGGCTGAAGTGGGAGCAAAGGGATTACTGGGTTATTCAAAGCAATTAAAAAATCTGACTTAAAAAGCTATGTTGTATGACCTTGAGCAATGTCCCAAGTTGTTTTGAAAAACACAAGTACGTGTTCTTGGAAAGTTCAGTTGGTTTTCAGTCAGCTTGTTAAAGTCCTTTAATTTGGGGAATGTTAATATGGGATTCATATCCTGTATGTATCTATATAAACCTCTATCTATCTATGTATCTCTATATGTATCCACACACACACTTGCTGTTGTTTCAGAAATTAACATTTATAATTTCTTATTTTTAAAAATGGCCTTTGGGACTTTCCTGGTAATCCAGTGATTAAGACTCCTGGTAGCCACTGCAGGGGCCATGGGTTTTATCCCTTATTAGGGAAGTTCCACACGACACATAACATGGCCCAAAAAAAAGGCCTTTGGAGCCTAAGCAATACTTTGAGATTTATATATTAATTAAAGATAATGGGTTTTCCTGGTGGCTCAGTGGTAAGGAATCCGCCTGCAATGCAGGAGATGCAGGAGATGTGGGCTCAATCCCTGAGTCAGGAAGATCCACTGGAGGAGGGAATGGCAACCCACTCCAAGGATTCTCTTGCCTGGAGAATCCCATGGACAGAAGAGCCTCGTGGGCTACAGTCCATGGGGTTGCAGAGAGTCAGACACGACTGAAGTGACCAAGCACACAAGCTAAGATGATGGAGCTTTTAAATGTTTGGTGCCAACAGCAGAGAACATTTAGCATCCACTCATCTTCCCACTCCCAACAAAGACACCATTTCCCCCCATTCGCTTATAGTTAATGAAACAAAGGAATTGTTTCTAAATTTTGTTAGCAAGTTTCTAATTCCTAAGGGGCAGTTTTGTTTCCTGGAATGAGAAGGGGTTTTAAAGCTGTATTTATATCTGCACTCTGGTTATGACTCCCTAATGAGAGCTTCATCACATTTTTTTAGTTTTTCAAAATCTTGGTTTCCTTACCTGCAAGGGATTAAACCTAGCCATGTAGAACTAATTGTGGCAAAAATTTAATATGAACTATTGCCAAGGCCTCTTACCATCTGAACTCCCACACTTTCTACCCATGAAATTAAGTACTATTTGAAATTTTGATCCCCCCTGTAGAGTTGAAAGAGAGGAGAAAATCCAGAATACATATATGGAATGAGCAAGAAAGACATAATTGAGCTGCCCTGGAACTAAGACAGTATTTTCTTCAACTAGGCAGAAAAGCAGCCCGAAATAGACACTAAGTCTAGTCACTGAGACCTCAAATGACATCCTTGGACCCCTGAATTGTGAAATATGTGCTGAAAATGTTGTATCCTCACCTTCCAGAATTCAAAAGCAAGGAAACAAGGAGAAACACTAAGAATTTATTTCATGATTAGGTATTTGACAGTGAATTTTACTCACTGGAAAGGGAACCACCCTATCCTTGAACCACACTTATTTTTTGACCTTGTCAGAAAAACTTCTTTGCAAGTTTTGGGAACAAATTATGTGTGAAAAGTGAAGGTAGCAAGTGTGCAATGTTTTCAGTCCATAATACAACAATACCTTGTATTGTTTTGGGCTTTACAGAGTCCATGTCATACACATGAATTTGCTGAATCATGACAACATCTACATGAGGTAGGTATTATTGAGTTTACAGGTGAAGTACCTGAAACTTAGAGGTTAAGAAATATAGTAATATGTCCAAGGGAACACAGCCCATGACAAAACTGGGATTCAAACCCAGGATCTCTGATACACATAATTTATATGTGTATAATTATACACATAATTTATATGTGTATCATTCACCATAAAGAGAGATTAAGTTACTTTTAGTCAATTCACCAGAAGAAGAGAAAAATTATACCTTCAAACATATCTCTCCAATTTTTTTCCCTCAATATAGCTTGGAAACTGACTTCTTGACATATGAACCTTTTCACCTTTACGTAGATGCTGGTGATTGCTTCATTTTTGTAAAATTAATTTCAAATTGTTATCCCTCTTTTTAACTTTTTCCCCATATTTTCAAATTGTGGCCAACAAAAAATTTAGCGGTATATAAGTCACAGGAAAAAAACTTTCAGTAGATTCTGTTGCTCTTGGAACTTCTAATACAAGATGCTCATTTCATTCCTCCAAAGGTGAATAATTGAATATGCTGACTTTAATCTAATGAACAATAATATGCAATCTGGTACATGATAGATTATTGAATTATCAGAATTGTACATAAATTTGGAATGATAAAGCAGATAATTACTGATAAGTATTTTGGATTAATATAATTTTCTTGTTGGCAAACTTAAGTAGTTCAAAGTTTACAAATCAAATTTATCATAGTTGAGTCCTGACCATTTCAGAAATAACTTAACTGAAATTCAGGCACATACACACAAACATTTTAGTACATTCTTATTAATAATTAAAAGCTACTCTCTGATTAAATGACTATTAGTTTATGATTCACCTTGTATCTTTAATTTCAGCAGAGTAAAATGAGAAATTTTCCTTATAAGTAAAACCTGGCTATTCATAAAGGGGAATTTTTACTCATTTGATAATATAGTATGAAATGTTAAGACAGCACAACTTTGTGATTAAATGGAATAAGTCTGATCACACAATGGAAAAAAAAGAAATCAACACAAGGAAGAATGATGTATTTGAGAACATTTTTAATAAATAATGTGACAAAATTACTTTTCTGATTATTGGATTTTCAGTATGCAAAATTATGGCTAAAAATAAGAGGCTTCTTACATGAACATAATGAAAACATTAATCACATGGATTGTTCCCTTAGTACTGCACACCTTTTCTATGTAAATTTCAAATTATCTAAGTGAACACATTTAGTTTTTGGTGAACACCAGCTTTTTTTTTTTTGTGGTTCAGTTTTGCTTGGCTTTGTTTTCTGGGGGGATGGCAGGGCTGGGAGGGGGGTTGGGGCAGGACGGATACCTATAAATGAATAAATGTACTTTTTTTTTCAAATAGCACCAATTATAAAGTCAATGAAATTTATATAACAAAAAAAAGGGTCAAAAAATCTACAGTCAGAGGACATCATTTGGCAATTCAAAGCAAGTGATGCCTCCATTTGAGCTTATAAGGAAATCTTGTAAGTTTAACCAATGGCCATAACAAACTTAAACCTTTTTTTCTTTAAGTCCAGGAAAAGTAAGAACCGTCGCATTCATGGCCCACAATAAAGTATGCACGTTACTTCACCATCTGTCATCATTCAAATATTCCAAATACAAACATAGGGCATTAACAAAACAGGTTAAAAACGCTTCTCAACATTTTGTTTCAATAAGACAAAAAAGGTTAATAGTTACAATGGTTTACAAATAAAGTTTAGTGATTGTGCTTTTAAAACCAAAAAAAAAAAAAAAAAAAAAAGATTAAAAACAGTGCATTACAAAAACAAAAATCAAACTTCCTTAAGTGGCACTTCCGAAAGTTGAACTGACACTACCAGAAGAAATTCAGGCCAGTTAAGATGGGGATGTCCTTATTCAATTGGTCATTAAAAACATCCATTTGTTGGCAATATGCATTTATAATTGCTTTTTGATTGAAAAATAGAACAAGGTTTTTGCTGGGCTGATTATGACAATGATTAGACAACCAGAGATGCAACTGGCTTACCCCTACTTATCCAAAAGTATGTTTCCAATGAGAATATACTTCAGCAATTGAAATGAAGACAAAATAAAGTACCACCAGGGGTTGCGAAGAGTATATATTTACAATGTTTCTACCCCCTTCAAATTGATTATGGTTGTCCTGCATTTGCTATGTATTTTTTTTTCTCCCTGCAGAGGGTGGTATGAAAGACTGATTTTAAAATCATGTTAAAATGAAGTTATGTTTTAGTTTGCATTAGCAGTGGTTATAGAAAGATTGTATCTTTAGAGCCCTTGACATGAAGTTGATTAGTCAACTCTGTATCTTTGATCAGTAAATTGGCTTGCTATATAAGCAGTGCAATGCCATATCTCAGGGGCAAAATGCAAAAGAACTGTTTTGTTCTCTCCTGTTGGCTGATGACTGAAGCAAGAAGTCAAATACTTCCCTTGCCGGAAGCAAGGTGAAATGATTTGTTCCAACAGCGAGGGGAATAGGGAGGTTCTTCCTAGGGATAGGGATCAAATAACAATGATAAAACCCCAATAAAATTTAAAAAATGGTATTCCAATAAGAGGAATGAAAACGACAATTTGTACACTCTGATTGCACTGAACATTTTATCTGGCGTCTTATGTCATCTGACACAAGGCATCGTGAGTGATCACTTTCACATTAGATCTCATAATCCTCTCTGGTTGTCTTCAGCTTTCAGTTTCCTGGAAGAGATAAGTTCCTGTTAAATTTGAAAATAAATCTTAGAGTGTTGTCCTACTTCGTATTTATTTCATGCTTTTGTTATTACATTGTTTCTTCATTCATTCCCTAGCACACACTAAAAAGTGCTCATGGCAACATATTCATAGGTCAACTTTAGCTGGTTTTGACAGCAAAGCCAGTAGTTCTCTAATGAGTACTAAACTGTGTTCCACCCAGTGTCTGGGGATTAGGAAGTGGGGCACAGGCAGAGGAACAAGAGCAGGCCAACTTTTCTATCCCCCAGCCTCAACTCAACAGGATAGCTCAGTTTTTACTGGTTTCAAGTAGCTGGTTGCCTGTACTGACTTTTTTGCCCTCAAAGGGCTCTTCTAAAAACCAAACAAAAACTAAACCAAAAACCTGAAAAATAACTTTTCTAACAGCATGTGCAAAAGGAAAGTCTTCTTATTCTAAACCTCAAAATAAAAACACATTGGGCATAACAGCAAATTCAATTAGACATACTTAATTATACTTTTTCATCTTCTATTATAAAAAGTTGCAGTTTAACACTCTACTAGCAATCTGTTTGAGATAACATCTATTTGTAGGAAGAGGAATTTGTCCTCAGCTTATCTTTTTATTGAATGGTAAAAACACAGTTTTAAACACAGGAGATGATGTTATAAAATGTGACTTACTGACAACTCTACCTTACAATACTATCTATAGATTCCAACAAAGGATATCTTTGACTCAAGAAGTGTTCTCTATTTGGGAAGGTCAGTGTTAAGTATTAGGTTCCCATTTTCAAAAGACTGAAGATGAAAGGTAATTACCCAAATCATCCTGATTAATCCCAGTGATCACTAGATGGCAGATAGTACAGGCAAAACACCATCACTCACATCTTATAACTTTATCACTTTACTGGATTTTTATACTCTATTGTAATACTACGAATTACAATTATCTAGATCAATAGTTCTTATTCCCTAATAACATGTTTGTTATATAAATTTCCTATCTGAATATGAACCCTAATATCTAAAAAGAAACCATTATTACCATTTAAAACTTTGGAACAGATTTCAAGAAAAATCATTAAATTCTAAGACTTTCAATTGCTGTCATCACTAACAGGGTTTGTGATGAAATAGTAACATTTCTGTAGACTGATGAATGCTTTAAACTTTGAGGTTTATATAAAAACTAGTCTAACACTGAGAAACTTGAAAAAAATTATAGATACCTCTAATTCTTCATTATTATCTTCTCTTTCATATCCTCCAAGAACTTGCATCTCTGCAATATTTCTTCGACCTACATTTGCTTGTTCTCTTTGTCTGCTTCCTGATCCTCGTGATGACATAGAACTTGAAGAACTAGGATCTCTGGGATTATTTGATGTCGGAAAAGTAGGTCTACAGTAAGGCAGAATATCCTCTGTGTAATGAAATATAATAAGCACATATGAAGCCCATTGTACATTTTCATTGTATAATGTATCACTATGTCTATAAATCAGAATGGAGAAACATTAGTGTTTCTGAGGAATAAATGAGGACATTTTATAGCACAAATGAATAAGGCAATGAAAACAAAAATAACAACCCTGCTGTTTTCCTGGTAGTGACTGGGATTTAGATCGATCCTACTCATAAATTCTTATCTATCTCAAATGCACTTGAGATCAACATCCTTAAAAGAGGGAAACCAAACCTGGAGTCAGACATGACTTCCAATCTATCCTTCACTATGTTATCTCCCATTATTTCAGGCTTTAGTTTCCACTTTTTGAAAAAAAAGTGATAATAGTGTCTACTAGGACACTAGGAGTTGCTAGTGTTGATGTGAAAACACATGAGATATTGTAGTATGTCCCTATGTAAACTAAGAAGGAACTATTAGGCATTGATAGGAAAAAAAAAATCCCAGTCTTATTGAACCACCAAAACAGTCAAACCTAGATTCACTCCCTAGATACCAAGATGCCAACCTCCATTTCAACATCATATTTACATTGTGGAATCCTGAATCTGAGAAGCCTGACATTGTTGCTAGCTTCAAAAATCAAACTACTCCTGGTAACTGCTGTCTCCTGAATTATTATCTCCATATGCTTTAAATTTGGTGATGCTTCTAATGTTGCATCCTTCAACGGCTCACTTCTCTCCAAAGCCTGTCCAGTCTAATCTTTGGACATCAAACACATCCAAACAGAGCACAGCAAAAAAAAACAAAACCCTTCCACATGCCCTTTTGTTCTCCTTCCCCAAAAGCTTCCTCTACCGTCCACATGGCCTGAATGAAATCTGATCTCCCAGGGAGTCTACACTGAAGTTCCTCACAGTGGAAGAAGGGAAGTTTGCTTTCAGGTGACCAACACTAGCTATAAATCATTGCTCCTCCACCCTTGAACAAAAAACACCCTACTCCCATGAGGGCCAAGCAGTGGGTTATGTAACCTGCTCCTGTTGTATTCATCACAACTTTCATTCCTGATCCAGACTTCTGATTCTCTGGTGTTTCAGAGTCCATGTGGATCACTGGACCTGCACCGAGCTAGCTTCATGGAACTTGGCCCTCTGTGACCTTCAGCTTCTGTCTCTGCTTCATGCAATTTTTTCTACTGAGCTTAGTTTTTGACAAACTACATCATGATAAAATATCTCTTTGGCTAAAGACTTTCCCCTTAAGCCGGTGCTCTACATGCATCGATAAATCTATCACTACTGATAGCTTAGCATAGCTTGTTGAAAAGTAATCTGGACTCGGTATTGGTCATTACAACTCCCATTCACTCCATCTCACTGAAATCTACCTATGCCCACATTACTACAAGGGAACTGAGAAAATTCCCTGTTGACTTTAATAATGCTAATCATGTTTCAATCCTTAAGTCTCTAGACTTCTCACGGCCCTTCATCAGAAAACCACAGCCAATGTAAACATTACCAGTCTCAGCTCCTACTTCTCCCCTCTTCCTGGCCTGTCTTTGGTGGTCTCTTTTTATGCAGTGCTTCTTACATATTGGTGACCTTCTTGCCATTTTCTGCTTTTAGCGCAGTGTGTGTGTGTGCATAAAAACTTTTTATCCACTTACTCTGGGCAATTTTATCCATTCTCGCAGACTGTACTTTTTCTAGAGTACAGCTGCCATGAGGGCAGATACTTGGCTTTGTGTATTGATACCCTCTCACCTAGACATACAATAGGTTATTGATGCATGAGACGGGTGCTCGGGGCTGGTGCACTGGGATGTCCCAGAGGGATGGGATGGGGAGGGAGGTGGGAGGGGTGTTCAGGATGGGGGACACATGTACACCTGTGGCTGATTCATGTCAATGTATGGCAAAACCATGACAATACTGTAAAGTAATTAGCCTCCAATTAAATAAAAAAAAAATTTGACTGAATAAATGGGTGGTTTTGCTGTTTCACCATGATGAGTTATTAATGTATATTTCCTAAAGTCTGCCCAATTGCCTCCTTTTGAGGGCCCCTCAAACTCCACAGATGGAACACTGACGTCACCATGTCCACTCCTCTGAGATTTCGTCCCCCTCTGCATTCCTTAATGTAGTTAATGGCATCACTAACCTTTAAGATACCTTAGATAGAAAGCTGGAATTATTTTAATATCTTCTCTCCTTTCCAACAACCTTCCCATAACCTCTTAAATGAACCTTTTCCACACATTCAAATATATAACATGTAAGGATGATTTTAACTAAAAAGTTTCTTGCATATTCCCCCTCAGTCATCCCTGCTCCCACAGCCTGGTTTATATTCTCCATGTCTCTTCTGAGGTTGTAAGTATCTTCTAATGGGTCTCTGCTTCTTGAGTTATTTCCCTCTAAACTTGCTTCACTCAGCTACCTTCCTTTTAGAGGAACTACAGGGTCTCCATGAGGTAAGCTTACATTGATCTCAAGAGCTTCATCCTTACCACTTTTACTGCCTAATAACACTGAATTTCTTATATTCTCCTCAATGTACCTCAACTTCTCATTCTGACTTTCTCTGCCAAAACTATCTATCCACTTTTCTTACCCAAGCGAAATTCCACCCTCCCGAAAAGCCAGCTTATGGGTCATTTCCACTAGGAAAGATCAAGAAGTCTTTCTTTATATTCCATCACCCACAAGACTGGGCTAATTTTCCCTTCTCTGGACTCTCAAGTATCATGACACCATAAACATTATATCAAATATGGGTGTATCTGTGAATAAAGATTACCTGTCTCCTCTGACTATAAGCTCCAGGAGGTCAAGCTTCACGTTTACACATAAATTTCAGGACTAGTACAATGCTTCATAACACTGTAGATGTTTAATATATGTAGAAATAAATTGAACTAACTGAGGTAAACGTCAGCAAAAAGACCAGACATTGAAATCTAAAAGACCACTCTCCTTAATTAAAAATAACCATTTGTTACAGATGTAATTCAGAGAGCCTCTCTAATTATAAACAGCAAAAACTTAATTATGAAGGTTAAAATTACAGGAATGTACAGAAATGATAATCAAAAGACATAAAAACAATTTCATGTCTTTGTTTTAATTTTACACACACCAAAATCATTCTGAGTTGTTAAATCTTCCCCTAAAGAATTGAGCTTACTTTGGAGAAGTGTTGCTTATGAGCAGCAAATTGGTCTGTACTTTCAGGTCAGATATAAATCTCATAAGTTATATTGTGACATTTGATTTATGAATGACTACTTGGAGTATAATTGTGAAAAGTTAAAAGTTCAGATCACCTTGGCTTTAATGATACAAAATAAGCACAGTTTCTCAAACTTCAGGTTACAGGGATGTAGCCAAGTAATCTGTGGTCACATAGCGGGGGCATCTGTGCAAAACACATAACTTCACCATCACTTCATTGCTGAGTCCATGCCAGAGTGAGGAGTTCAGGCTTTCATCACAGGAGGAAGTGAAACTGTCCTCTATATTGAAAGAAACTTGCTAATGACCAGATGCCCATAATGAACAGAACAGACTGATGTCAAATCTTATCAAACTGCAGCTTTGAAAACAGTTGTAGTTAAAGTGCACTCACAGCCTTCTAAGATTCATTTCCCCATCACTCTTTCCTGATTCCTTCATCAATTACCTTCTTTTCTTGTATCTCTTCTGCCTAAATAGGTTCTTCTCCTCAGTCTATATCAAATATCTTAACCTAAAAACATTTCCACAGATTTTGCCTTCCTGTCAAATCTTATCTTGACCTCTCTCCTTCCTAACCTTCTGCAGAGAGCCCACACTTATCACCTCCCTTCCACAATTTTCATTTACTTTCCAGACCCTACAGTCGAGATTCTATAGTGACTATTTGATTTTAAAAAGTTAAATGGTGGTGGTGGTTTAGTCGCCAAGCCTTGTTCAACTGTTTGTGATCCCATGGTCCACAGCTCCCCAGGCCGCTCTGTCCATGGGATTCCCCAGCCAAGAACACTGGAGTGGGTTGCCATTTCCTTCTCCAGGCTATCTTTGGGATCCAGGGATCAAATTCACGTCTCCTACATTGGCAGGCAGATTACCACTGAGGCACCTGGGAAGCTCTCGTCCTTTTAAATACCACCCACAAAAAACATTTTGTAAAATCTCTGTGTCCTTCACCCATTCTCCCATCCTACCCCCATTCACATCCAACTTTCACTTCTGTGCCATTTTATATTCATTCCCATCTTAAAATTTCCTTCTGCATTATTTCCAAGATACTATTCTTTCTAGTTTGAATGGTTTGATTACTTTATAACACTGGGCTGATTCCACCTCATTTTCTGTACAGAATGTTCCTCTGCCTAACATATGTTTGTATGTATGAATGTATTTATTTTCACTGAAGTATAGCTGATTTACAATATTACATTAGTAGCATATAGTGACTCAAAGTTATTATAAAGTATTATAAAATAATGGCTATATTTTCTGTGTTATTATAAAGTAATGGCAATATTCTCTGTACTATACAATATGTTCTTGTAGCTTATTTATTTTGTATGTAGTAGTCTGTACCTCTAATTCCCCATCCCTGTCTAGTCCCTCCCCCTTTTACTTTCCCCACTAGTATCTTTTAATCATCATGCAGTATCCTTATAGTCATCTCTGTGGTGTGATGGAGAGAGCTTACATGTTCACACAAGGGTCTACTAAACCCATCTCCTCCTAACTCCACATTCTCTGATTTCATATTAGTCGCTTGAAACTAGCTATTTTGGATGTAATTACACAACAGAAGTAAGCAAATGGCCACAAATTAGGGGCTGGTTCTGTTTCCTTCCCAGAGAATTGATTGTTAAACATTATCCACTACATCACTGCTGATAATTTAGCTTTTATAATTCAAACAATTTTCACCTCTGTGTTGCTGAGGTGAACAACATCCATTCTCTACCTACAACCTTCCTCCTGATCTTTAAGCTTAGTTCTCTAAATTCTTACTGAATTTTTTCATTTCTATGTTCTTGTCAGTACCTTAATCTATTCATAACTAAAGTTATTTTCCATAAGATTTTTATCCTTTTCTTCAGTTTTTACATTGTTCAATACAATTATGTTGTATAGTCATGGAGAGCCATCTAATTAACATTTGAATAACTTTTTTACTCCCTTAGTTCATTTTACTTTTTTACATTCAATTAGTCACCAAGTCCTATAGGATCTCTCTCTGAAATGCCTATATTGGCTGTTTCTCTTTTTAATTTGCACAACTATTTTAATTCAGTGCTTTCATATTTTATACCTAGATTATTTTGCAAGGTTCTGATACCTTCAGCCACCCAATTCCAGACTCCTTCTTCACTATAGAGTTCTGTCAGTTATTTTTTTAAGCAAAAAAAAAAAAAAGGATAATAATTTTTTCATTCTTATTTTTGATTATATAATTTCTTGATTAAACTTTTTGCTGGCTCACCACTGTCCATATTATTAATCCCAAACTCTTCAAAATAGTATTCCTGGCCTCCCCAATCAGGTTCAACAATCTTTCTAGTTTTATTTTTTGCCATTTGTCCCTGGCCCCAAGCATCTTATTTTCCAGCCTAACTAGAAATCAGAATTCACCAAACATTCATTTTCACATTTTCATGGTTTTCCTCTGTTTATTTTCTTTGTCAGAAATCTCCTTTTCCCTTGTAACTTGTGTAAACCATGCTTTCCTTTAAACTTCAACTAAATTGGCACCTCTTCAAGGAAGACTTGCATAATATCATGTATTAGAATTGATTGTGTTCAAATTACCTGGGTGCATACCTGTCTCCTCCAATAAAGAGCGAATTTCTGAATCTTACCCTTTGTACCTGATCCTAAAGAGCCTGAACTGTACCACGCACACATGTCCAGTCTGTATGTATGGGATGCTTGTCTAAAGAAGTACCTTGGATGAGATGAGTCTTTGCTGGTGGAAGGTCGCGTTTGGCTGCCTTGGTTCCTCGTCCTTTCCCATCATTTGGCTGTTCTTGTGCTTCTCTGGGATCACCTGGGTTTGGTCGCATATCAGCAACTTGTCTTCCATCCAATACTTCCCTCCCCTTGTAATTGCCTCCTTTTCTATCTGATGATCTGTCTGTTCTTGCTTCTATAGAAGGGAGTTTTGGCACCATCATGGGCCGGACCTCCAACTGGGCCTTGGATTGGGCGGTGGGTGACTTGATAGCAGGAGGTGGCACAGGGGGAGGTGGAAGATCTGAAAAGAAATATTTGAAATTACATAGACACCATGGAATATTACTCAGCCATTAAAAAGAATTCATTTGAATCAGTTCTAATGAGATGGATGAAACTGTAGCCCATTATACAGAGTGAAGTAAGCCAGAAAGATAAAGAACATTACAGTATACTAACACATATATATGGAATTTAGAAAGATGGTAACGATGACCTTATATGCAAAACAGAAAAAGAGACACAGATGTACAGAACAGACTTTTGGACTCTGTGGGAGAAGGCGAGGGTGGGATGTTTCGAGAGAACAGCATGTGTATTTTCTATAGTGAAACAGATCACTAGCCCAGGTGGGATGCATGAGACAAGTGCTTGGGCCTGGTGCACTGGGAAGACCCAGAGGGATCAGGTGGAGAGGGAGGTGGGAGGGGGGATCGGGATGGGGAATACATGTAACTCCATGGCTGATTCATGTCAATGTATGGCAAAAACCACTACAATATTGTAAAGTAATTAGCCTCCAACTAATAAAAATAAATGAAAATAAAATAAAATAAAATACTGTGAAAATTTGCCATTTCTAAATTTGTCAACATTAGTGTTACCATTAGAGTCACATTCAATTGTGAAATAATAATCTTAAAAGAACTGAACAACTAAAGACAGCCAAAGAATAAGAAGACTAACAAATTTAATGTACTCTTGTTTTTATTTATTTGGCAGTCTTTACCAACTGATGCACCAGGGAAGCTTCATGACTGCAGTGGGTAGCCTATTCCTTCTCCAGGGAATCTTCCCAACCCAGGAATTGAACTGGAGTCTGCCTTCATGGCAGATGGATTCTTTACACAGTGAGCTACCAGGGAATCCCTTATCTGGCACAGGAATATTGAATCATATAGCTGGGACTTAGAGATTAGCTAGTTTTGGGATGGCTAATATGGATACATATGCTATAGCTTTTTCTCCCCCAAACATGGCAGATCTTCCTAATTGATTTCACTGTAATGTTGCTGATCCCAGATGGGTATCTTTACTCTTCAGGCAACCACTTCAGATTGATTGAGGTTGGCACTTGAGTTGAGACCTCTTTGTCATCCCTAATCTAACTGAATCCCTTCTCATTTTGCAGATAGGGAAGTTCAAACACAAAGATCTTAAGTTATTTTCCAAACTTAAAGCTAAATATAATCAGAACCAGGACTAATGCCCTCAGATTCCTAATTTCTTTTTTTTTTTCTTTTTTTTTTTTAATTTATTTATTTATTTTTTTTATTTCATTCTATTGCATCTTCACAATCTACCCTTCATTGGTATGGTCTCTCCACTTTGTAATATGCACCCACAGGTTTTAAACTAGATAATCACTAATATACACATAAGTTAATTTTTACCTATCTATAGTTATATATTAATATATTACAAATAATTGGATATTATATATAATAACACTTCTCATAGACATACTTAAAAATTAAAGTAGGCATATAATTTTATATCTAGAAAATTTATTTTAAGTGGCACTATTTTTTTTTAAATGACTCTTAGGTACACTCCAGGGAAAAGAAATACATAACCTAGTAATAGTTGATAAGTTAGTAGAAGAATATGAACAGATTCTAGTTTTAGTTTGTTCTGGCTGTAGCATGGAGGATGAATTAAAAGGAAAGTCTCAAATCCAGGAGGCTAAAATATTATTTTAAAATCTCAGTAAATAATGATAGGAGATAGAATTGTACTGGTGACTTTCAGATGGAGAGTAGATGTGCCTGAGAGAGTTTAAGGAATAAAAATCAATATTATTTAATGATCAATGGAAAACAGCAGGGGAAGCAAGCATGTGTGTGCAGTTGCTCAGTCCTGTCCGACTCTTTGTGACCCCATGGACTACAGCCTGCCAGGCTCCTCTGTCCATGGAATTTCCCAGGGAAGAAGACTGGAGTGGGTTGTCATTTCCTCCTCCAGGGGATCTTCCCAACCCAGGGAATGAACCTTAGTCTCCTGTATTATAGGTAGATTCTTTACTACTGAGCCACCAGGGGAGCCCCAAAGACTATTCATGAGATAACTCTTAAGATTTTTGCCATAGCTAACTAGCTGGATGAGGAATGCAGGGATGAGAAAGAGATGGTTTGCAAAGGAAGAGCATGAGTTCTGTTTCAGAAAAAGTGAACAGGAAGAACTTCTGAAGCATCCAAGCATATATATACAGGAGGGTGTTGTATATAAAATCTGAATTTCATGGGAGGTCAAAACCAGAGATCTAGAGACTTGAGAAGTATCAGCATATTTTTTCTTTAGTCATGACTTTAGAAATGGTAATGTTTTCATATTCTATGTGATATTAACAAAACAAATCAACTAAATCATGAATAGGGCATGCATTAATAGTAAATGTTTAGTATTACAAAAGTAAGCTTTTCCATAGAAAATATACATGGGAAAAATTCAAAAGTATATAAAAACTTGGAAGTATAACCCTTCATATGTCCCCACCTTCATTTCAAATCCTCAATATTGATGCAGAGGTAATTAGTCTGAATGGATGTTTATAGATCATCCCAGAAATTATTTATGCATAGAAAGCAAGGCTGCCAAGTTGCATAATTCCAAGGAGTACCATTCACATTAGAAACTACATAAAATGGCCATATCTGGGGTTTTGGGGCATGCATGTCTACCCACCAGGATGTGATAGTCTTCCTTCCCTGGTAACATAAAACAACTGTACTTTTTTTCACCTAAATGTGTAGTTGTATACATTTCCATATATAAACATATAGCTTTACCTCTTCTGATGAAAAGTTTGTATATTGTTCTACTTTATGAATATATCATTATTTATATAGTAAATCCCAACAGAGGAATATTTGTTTCCAGAGATATTACTATTATTGGCAATGGTCCACTGACTATTATTTATATATATTAGCATAAAAATTCTTGAATATTAAGATCATGCCTTGAAAATTCATAATATAATAGCAAATTACAGGGTTTAGCAAGCATCAGTTTTAATCTAGTATTTCTCATTCTTGCTTTTTTTTTTTTTTTAAAGAATTAACCATTTTCTTTTGTTCCTTCTGTGTATTCTTGCCACCTCTTAAATAGGTATGAGATTTTAAAAGTAATTTGATTTTGACTTTATGTGCCATATAACTAAGGCATTAGAATTCATTGTATTGGTCTCTGAATGCATAAATTTTGAGATATCATCTTACTTCCAGCTGTTTTACTTAGGACTCCATCATTAAAACTGGTCAGACTGTTACTTGCATACTGCTGTTGTTAATTCTCTTAGTTCATCATGTTCTCTTTTTATGTAAAATATAAATCTAGAAAAATTAAAAGCTTTTTATCTTAAAACATAAACTGCCATTGTCACTGGTGATGATTACCCTCCTTTAACAACATTTTTTTTAAACAACATTTTAAAAATAGTTGTTGTTGTTCAGCCTCTCAGTTGTTTCCCATGGACTGCAGCACACCAGGCCTCCATGTCCTTCACTACCTCCTGGAGTTTGCTCAAAGTCATGTCCATTGAGTCAGTGATGCCATCCAACCATCTCATCCTTTGTCGTACCCGTCTCTTCCTGCCTTCAATCTTTCCCAGCATCAGGGTCTTTTTCAATGAGTCAGCTCTTTGCATCAGGGAGGCAAAGTATTGGAGCTTCCCCTTCAGCATCAGTCCTCCCAATGAATATTCAGGGTTGATTTCCTTTAGGATTGACTGGTTTGATCTCTTTGCAGTCCAAGGGACTCTCAGGAGTCTTCACCAACACCACAGTTTGAAAATATCAGTTCTTTGGCACTCAGCCTTCTTTATCATCAACTCTTGCATCCATATATGACTACTGGAAAAACCATAGCTTTGACTATAAGGGCTTTCGTTGGCAAAGTAATGTCTCTGCTTTTTAATACTCTGTCTAGGTTGGTCATAGCTTTCCTTCCAAAGAGCAAGCATCTTTTAATTTTATGGCTGCGGTCACAGTCTGCAGTGATTTTCACTGTTTCCACATCTATTTGCTATGAAGTGATGGAACCAGATGCCATGATCCCCCTCATTCACTACTTATTTATGAAAAATAACCCAAAAGAGAAAAAAGACAGATTGTACTGTGTGACTTAAAGTGAAGAGACCCAAGGCTGAGCTGTTCTAAGTTCAGACTGAACCTGGGACTGGGAATGGGAGAAGAAAAGTCAAATTCAGAATATACCTGGAAGCAGAGGGAGTGAGTGACTGCAGACTCATTTCTGCACTATCTCCTTGCTACAAACTCAGACTGGATTGCAAACACAGCTTATCAGGAAGCTGATGACTTCCACTACCATCAAATCATAAAATGTCTGGGCTGATCAGATATCAAAGCTGATTACAGTATCATAAGATCATACAAAGTCTTGGGAATCTATGACTCTTGAGACAAAATCCATTATCAGATGCTCTATATAGATGCTATCTATAATACAGGTAGAAAAAGAAGAGAATCTGATGGTAATTTTAAGAGTTCAAGCTTACTGTATATAATCGCGACGGTATATAATTAACAGAGGGGAATGATGGTAGGTGTAATTTCTAATATAAACATTACCAAATTTTTTTTTAGGTATCACAAAATAAACACTGAGTCAAATCAGGGATTATCATAGCATAAACAATTTTATATTTCATAAAATAATAGTACTTTCAGGTAATTCATACCACTAATAGCTCAAACTGGGTTTAAAAAATGGGATCATGGAACTCATATATATGTATAGTCTCTTTCTTTATACAATTGTATAAACACCATTCCTTATTCAAGACTCTCTAAATACCAATATAATGCATGTAAAATAATACAAAAGGGCATAAACATGGAGACAATTCTGCCGGCATTCACTCACTACGGAGATCTAGCCCTCTATTTACATAACTGTTAATAGTCCCAAGACCTTGCGATTAATGATATATCGAGTCAAAACAAAATCATTCCAAAGAGGGTGAATTTATAATTTATGAAAAGTAGAGCTGTAGTAATGATGTAGATTTGTTTTTTAAGTCAAGTATGTAAACGAATCAGGAGGTGTTGCAAAGAGGTGGAAAGAATCTATTAGAAGGTCCTAGAAATGCACTTATGCTTGGCTTTAACTCAATAAAAGTCTGACTGATCAATATTCATATATTTGAATGCTGCCCTGCATCTGGGTGAAAGCAGCAAATATGAAATAAATAAAGGGTTAGATTCTGCCTGTCAGTATTCTACAGCCTGCAGTCCTCCACTTTACAATGATAACTCCCTGGGTGGCTATGAGACCCAACATTTACCTACAGCACAAGGTATGGCTACAGTGCCACGAATTAGGGGCTGGTGGGCTGTTATGGGCTCAACTGTGTCCCCTCCAAGATTCACATGTTGAAGTCCTAACCCCCAGCACCTCAGAATGTGACTTGTACTTGAAGACAGGATTTTTAAAGAAGCAGTTAGGTTACAGTGAGGTCCTTAGAGTGGGCCCTGATCCCATCTGACTGGTGTCCTTAGAAGAAGAGGACACATAACATTCACAGAGGGAAGACCAAGTGAAGACATGGGGAGAAGGCGGTCACCTATAAGCCAAGGAGAGAGGCTTCAGGAGCAACCAGCCCTGCCAACACCATGAGCCTGAACTTCTAGCCTCCAGGGCTGTTAGGAAATACATTTCTGTTGCTTAAGCCACCTATGGTTTTTCCAGTAGTCATGTATGGATGTGAGAGTTGGACCATAAAGAAAGCTGAGCACTGAAGAATTGATGCTTTTGAATTGCAGTGTTGGAAAAGACCCTTGAGAGTCCCTGGGACTGCAAGGAGATCAAATCAGTCCATCCTAAAGGAGATCAGTCCTGAATATTCAATGGAAGGACTGATGCTGAAGCTGAAGCTCCAAATCTTTGGCCACTTGATGCGAAAAACTGACTCACTGGAAAAGATCCTGATGGGATGCTGGGAAAGACTGAGGGCAGGAAGAGAAAGGGATGACAGAGGATGAGATGGTTGGATGGCATCACTGACTCAGTAGACATGAGTTTGAGCAATCTCCAGGAGTTGGTGATGGACAGGGAGGGCTGGCGTGCTGCGGTCGCAAAGAGTCAGACACCACTGACTGACTGATCTGAACTGAAGCCACCTAGATAAGGTGGCTTAACCAAGTATTATGACAAAGATCATCAAAAATTACTCTTTATCAGTTCAGACACAGATCTATCAGGTTAGGTTCTTTTTCTTTCCTTATAGAGGTCACAAAAAGTCTGTAAAGGAAACTGATAATTTGAACAAAATGTACAAAGATGCTACACATGCTCAAGACTGATACAGCACATATTGAAAACAGTTCACATAAGAAATCTATTGACAATAATCAAACACATCCATCATAATTGATTCAATCATCAAAATCCAAAAATGAAAAAAACCTCTCCATGTCTTATTGATATATTTCTTATTTTTCACAACTGGCAGCTCCTTAAGTTCATGCTTCTCCCTCCCCTCTTTCTTCTTTAATAACTTCAAAAATTGTATTTGCCATAGAGATTCTTCATGAAATGGATTATGAATTTTTTTCAAAACCAAGAAAATGATTTCTGATAAAATGATTTTTCTTTTCATACTATAACCACTACACTACCTAGAGTATGTGTATTTTTTATTTGACACATTATGAAGAAAAGATTTCAGTTATTCAAGATGCATTATGGAAACGCACAAAATAGTACATAGTTCTATTTTTTTCTTTACCAAATCAGAAAACATCCAGAATTAAATTCAAGACTTGTTAGTAAAATAAGCATAACTCAATGACAGATGGTTATCAAAACACTAAAAGGAAGTTAAAGCTAGTGTTTAACCATTTTGTCTATTTTTGTGACTTAGAGAAAATAATTACTGGCTTCTACATCATGGTGTATATTATGACTATTCTGTATAATCATATGTAAAATGAACATTTATAAATTTAAATAATATTTCATATTAATATGGCTTTTTTGCTTTACAAATATTTTAGCATATTTCTTTGATATTTTTGAAATTAAAAATAACTTGGTTGCTTCATCATTCAATTTAATAGCTATTATTCCGGGATTAGTTATAATTTATATTTAATTATTAAACACTGAAATAAATGCTACAGAACATGCAGTGATGAATATAGATCACAATTTTCAAGCATATTATAATTTATAACTGCAATGCTATGCCCTCTAACTGACATATTTACATTATTTAAAGCATTTCTAAAAGCATCCCTCAATGCCAGAAGCCCCTCAAAACAAGTATAAATAAGAAGTAGAAAGAGTTACACAAAGCTTTAGGCCAGATTTTCTCCCAGATGTATTCAACCTAGATGCATTCACATCAAGGTGTGATGTTTGACCAGTTTTTCTGTTAGGAGCAGTCTCTTCTAGATAACAAAAACTGATAGAACAGCTATAAAACTTGTAAAATGCCATTATAGGGGTCCCATAAATGTAAAACTGCCAATAGAGTTTGGGGATTTATACCTAGTTTTCGTCCCTTCACAGAGGCACACATGCTCAAAGCCATTATAATCACCCTTCAAAATCAGATAATATTCTGACAGCTCAGTTTCCCTGACAAAGGGGTCCCAGGCAGGACGCAGGAGGCCCAGGTGCGCTGCGTCATGCCAGTATTTAATGCAGTCTAATATCAGATAGATGCTAGCGAGAGAAAATACTCTGAATAAAAGTATAGATAATAGCATGGACAGCCACTCATTGCAAAATTACCTGTGCTCATCATGCTGCGAGCTTTGTATTAAATTTTTTCTGTCAAGTGGCAGGAATCATGGGGAGAAGTGCCTCAGAAAACCCTCCTTGTAACCTTGGATAAGGATCTATAATATTAGGCTTTCATATGATAATGGCAAATGACGCCCTTTTTGAAAAATTGCTGACTGGTAATGAAAGTTCTAATCAGATTGTGGTTAGAGAGGACCAGGAGGTGGGAACGGTGCCTGTGACAACCTTCTTCCCCCCACCCCTTTAGTGAATTTAGCAAACCTGACAAGATGGGTGAGCCTGAGAGAATTTATCTTACATGAATTCCCAACAAAGCCCCTGAGGTTGTTTTATAAAACGAGAAGGTGGCGGTTTAATAAATGCCGGGCCACCTGAGGCACTTTCATTAAAGGCTTTCTCTAGACAACATCACAATGTTTGTGCTATTCGCCTGTGCTCCCTCTTGAATACACACCTCGCCTCTTCAGTGACAGCGCAGACTGTATGTGAAGGCATGAAGGAGGATGATTCCATTTGCCTTTTGGTGCACACACTGTTAGTAAGACCACTACAGTTAGGCTCTATATTCAAACGAGTTTATTGTCTTCTATTTGAATGCAAAATTCTCCAAGAAAAAAAAAAAGTGAGGACATTGTAGAAGAGTTATCAGTGATGAAGATTAATCCCAAGCCATGACTTCAACTACAGTAATATCTACTTGTTTAAAACTATATAATAACCTTTTAAGAATATTAAAAGTATTATCCTTTGTTTTTAACTTCCTAACTAACCCACTTACTAGAAAACTGCAGGGACTTGAGATGCCTGACAAGATATGGAAGTTGATCATTCCTCTATGTAATATGAGGCTTACTGTTAATGAATTTTTAATGTAATTTCTAATGTCAGTGGATGCATTTTCAAGTCAGAGAGAGCCAGGGTAAAGAGGCGAGATTCATAGATGTTTTCATCCATTTCAATGGACTTACCATCTGTGTAGGCTTCTCTGCGCAGATGTCCTGGCTGGTGTTTTTGTTTCTTGGCTGGTCTGGCCTTCTGTACTATGGCAGCACTCATGTTGCTGTCTGTAGAAACAGGACTTGTGGGTCTAGGGCACTGGGATGCATGAAAATGGCGGCGGCCTGAGAAAAAAACCAGAGCCAAACAACAACAGAATTTAATTTAACAGCAATAATCAAAATAAAACATTAAAACTAGAAATATCTCTATTTAAAAAAAAAGCCTTAAATTATTTTAGTAAACAATGCTGAGTTGTTTCAGTCGTGTCTGACTCTGTGCAACCCTATGGACTGTAGCCTGCCAAGCTCCTCTGTCCATGGAATTATCCAGGCAAGAATACTGGAGTGGGTTGCCATGCCTTCTTCCAAGGGATCTTCCTCAGTGGTTCAGCAGGTAAAGAATCTGTCTGCAGTGAAGGAGACACAGGACATGTGGGTTCAATTCCTGGGTCAGGAAGATTCTTGCCTAAAAAATCCCATGGACAGAGGAGCCTGGCAAGCTATGGTCCATGGGTCGCAAAGAATCAGACACGACTGAGCAACTAAACTTATCCTAGTAAACAATAGGATTTTTGTTATGCTGCTTGAGCTATCCACTGGAAAAAATACCCTAAAAGTATTTTCATGTTCTTTTTTTTTAAGCCTTGGTACTTTTATTCTGCTAAAGTTCTTGAGACCTAGGCATTAAAGAAAAACATTGCAACTATTTTTGCAGCTACCATCACTAAATTGTGATTGTTAAACAAAACTATTAGTTAAATTTTTACAAAATATATCCGATGTCTGTTTCTTTCTCAAAAGGAACAGCCAGAGCCCTTAAGAAATTCATGTTCAAAGAATAAACAGTGCAAAACACATCCCTTATTTTAATTAAATATGTGTGTGCCCTTCTCTGAAGACAGACTCCTAAATTTGAGTACATTCTCAGGTATTTTTTCTTATGCTGGCCTAAAATTTAGCTAGCTCACATACTTAGACCAGCTAAAATGCCTCACAGCCCTGTTCTCTTAAAAGATATTTACTTGCTGCTTCTGGATATTTAAAGTGACCCCTCCAGAGACTTTTATGTTTTTTGGTGCTGGTGTAAGTAGTTTTTTATTATTTTGATCTTGGAGGGACAATATTCACAGGTGATAAATGAACCTGATAATCAGACATGGTACATTGCTATGCTCTCAGATTCTCTGGCTTTCTTACAGAGACATAATACAACAGCGCAAAATGTTTACTCCATAAAGGCAATGGAGATTTACTGGCCCTACCCTTGATCTTCATTATTTTGGTTTCTTGAAATCCCAGAGATTCAAATGCAGAACTTTCTGTTGTACCACAAGAAAGTTCAGAGAGACCAAGACAACATGTTTTCTGGCTATAAACAGCAGCAGTCACAGAAAGTAGAATCAACACATTTACAGGTGATAACTGAAGTATTAAATAATAGATATTAATGTGGCCTAGTGAGAAACAATGTGATTGGATTATTCATTCATATTAACTTCAAGCCATATGATAAAGCAGCACCCTTTCAAGAAAAGAACCTTTTAATAGGCAGACTCCAATGCATGTTTTGTTCATTATAATCATGAGCTAAATGAAAGTCAGAAGAGCTACTAAATTACAATACAATGAAATATTAAACCAAACTCTCTTTAGCTATGATGGAGACTATTACAATTAAAGTTACATATCCATGAAAAGAGAGAATTAGGGCTGAGACTGAACCCATTTCTCATTCTATTGTGTAAGGCCATCTACTGCTCATAGACCCTGAGGCATGAGGTCGTTTACAGATGAATTTTCAAAATTATTTCTATGTCTCGTTGATTCAATGAACTGAAAAACACCCTTAATGCAATATGAAAGCAGTAGTTTGAGATGCTTAATTTCACGTACTTATTTTTTTACAGAAGATTAAAAAATAAGGAGAAACAAAAGCTATATATAAAGTCAGATGTTATTTATTAGGAACCATAGATTGGTTTGAATATTATTTTACTATATGCAGCAGCTCCTAGGGGAAAAAAATGAAAACTGGTTTAATATCATCAAGTGTAGGCCTGGCTGAAATAAGTATGCATTCTACAACAATAGTTTGAGAGATATTAGACATATTTTTTTTCTACAACATATTCTTGATTAATAATATACAGAAAAAAAGCTTTATGAAGTGAGTTAAATTTTCTTTGAATATATTCTACAAGGCTAAGAAATAATGACCAATCCAACATCTAAAGAGAACATGGAAAATTCTCTTGGAACATGGAAAATAACTGCAACAATGTGACAGCTACTAAGCTAAGAAAAAATAAAACAATAAGAAAACAACTATTGATCTGCTATGATAGTCTTTACTTTCTCAGAAATGTCTCTCTTTCTTATTGATCACATTATTTTTACTCTATTTGTATATTCTGAGTTACCAGAAATATACACATATTGAACATGTATATGAATATATTCCATTTTACATATTAAAATCATGTGAAAAATATATACTTAAAAATTTTTTTGTTGCTCATACTATTTATTTTCTAAACAAAGATGGGAGTAGGAAATAAGTATAAAGAGAATTAAAACATAAGAATGGACATATAGTAATTAAAAACAGGCTACTGGCAATAAAAGGGGAAATAGAAAAAATATATAAGCATTGAGATTAACTTGCTCTCCAAATTATTAGATTAACAAAGTTTAGTTTAAGCATAGAATATACTTTGCTTGCAAAAGTGTATATATTATAAATATCTTTATATTTTCTCAATTAAATTAGTATTCTAATTGAGAGGCATGAAAAGAATTGGGGGTTAAGGAGAAATAGCCCACTTTCCAACAGTTGAGTGTCCCTCCAGACATTTATCTCTTTCTCCTAGATAAGTTCTAATAAATGGTATGAGTGAACTACCTCAATTAATTTTATTTTGGTGACTTTTTACATCTTAAAAAAAAAGTGTAACACAATCTCAATTTAATTGATCACAGGCATTCCAAAGAAAGTTGCACTTATATTTGCTAAGACTATCTTAAAAATGAAGACTTTTCAGGTAGCTTCACTCACATTACATATGATTTATTAAATAAAATAGAAGATTTAAAAAGTCTTGTCAAGAAAAAGGGACCAGGCAAGATACATCATAATCTTGGGCCTTGGACTCCTTGCTGGGCCTTGCTCAGTGGTTCAGTCCTGTTGGACTCTGTGTGACCCCACTGATTGTAGCCCACCAGGCTCCTCTGTCCCTGGGGATTCTCCAGGCAAGAATACTGGAGTGGGTTGTCATGCCCTGCTGCAGGGGATCTTCCCAACCCAGGGATCAAACCCAGGTCTCTCTCATTGCAGGTGGATTCTTTATTGTCACCTGGGATGCTCGGCAGTCAAAAACCAGGGTGGTGACATTTATATTTCATATAGGACGTAAGATTAAGGAGAAAATCAGCAACTGACACATACACACAGAATTTTCTTTTTTTTTCTCTTCCAGTTTGGTGAGAAGCGTACGACTTACCAGCAGCATCCTGCATTTGGCGCCGGGCCACTTTCAGACCAGCATACTCCGCGGCCGCTGCGACCGCCTGGGCAAAATCAGCATCAGTGAAAAAGGAGCCATCAGAAGAACTAACGCTGGAGCGTCCGCTGGAAATGTTGTCCTCCTCTGAGGCCGAGCCCCAACCATTGATCATGGACCCAGTGACAGAGCTCTCCAGGTCCCCGACACTGGAGGCGGGGGTCTGCTCCAGCCCACGTAACAAAAGCCGCCTGGTCTGCATCTTGGCTACCTCCATGTCGGCTTCGTCTTCTTCCTCTTCTGGCGCATCCGTATCCATGTCTGAGACAAGCGGTCCTGAAATGTAGCCGTAGGTGTGGGGTGGGGAAAGCGGCCTTGGAGGTGGAGGAGGGCTCACAGGCTGCCGTCTGCAGGAAAATGAATAAACACGTATGGCTTAGTTCATTACTTAGGACACAAAAGTGCGAACTAACCAAGAAATTCACATGATGGTAGTTTAGTGGCTAAGTCTTGTCCCACTCTCAATCCCATGGACTGTAACCCGCTAGGCTCCTCTATCCATACGAGGCAAGAACACTGGAGTGAGCTGCCATTAAACTCACAAGTACACCCTTTTGATTTTTGCTTCCATGGAGCTCATTTGTTCAGGAAAAACAACGGGATATCAGGGCATGCTTAAAGTTTTATTTTTGAGTTGTAAGAAGTTTATCTCAATACCAGAGGTACTTTTAAGAAAGCTGGACTACCTTTTGATTCAAGCTTAATAGAAATACACTCATCTATGATAAGTCTCTTTATGTTTTATCTTTTGGGTTCTTGTTGTTCAGTCTCCAAGTTATGTCCGACTCTTCCTCACCCCATGGGCTGTAGCACACCAGGCCTCCCTGTTCAGTTATGCTCAGTTAAAAAAGGGTTAAAAAAAAAGTGGTAAGTAATACCTAGTTTGGAATTGACACTTATGTATTTGTCCTAAAGCATATGGAATACTGGGGCTTCCCAGGTGATGCATTTGGTAAAGAACCCGCCAGCTCAAAGTAGGAGACACAAGAGACACTGGCTCGATCCCTGGGTCAGGAAGATCCCCTGGAGAAGGAAATGGCAACCCACTCTAGTATTCTTGCCTAGAAAATCCCATGGATAGAGGAACCTGGTAGGTTACAGTCCATGAGGCTGCAAACAGTCAGACATGACTGAGCATGCACACATGCTCTATATGGAATATTACTGACAGCTTATAATGACCAAAGACGGCAGACATTAGTTCTGAAACAAGCTGCTCCATAAACGTATAAACATGCTCCCTTCCGTTTCCTTCATGGTCACTCCTATCATTGCAACTGAATGGACATATTCATTTTGATTATAGAGAGTAGAATTTTATAGGATTAAAATATTATGCATTCAGCACATGATACAATTTCCTTTAGATTTTATTCTATTGAAGAAACAGCCAAGATTAATTTTTCTCCAATTGCTCACTTATAAATATTATTAGCTATTTTCAAGTATATGACTTTTACCATTATTCCTCCTATCTGTTTAACAAAATGTTTACAGGTATTTTTCTTGGTGCTCTGGATTTAAGTTCACAGAGTTAACAGTAGCTGGTTTCAGCCATCTCTCCACAGATCTAGAGAACCTCAGTTAAAAGCAGTCTTTCTTCTCCCCTCCTGCACCATCAAACACAGTGAGCAGAAGATGGGTAAGAAGGCAGAGAGCACTTAGACATTAGTGTAAAGCAAAATTTGTGGAAAGCAAGGTTTGTGGAAAGAAGTTATTCCCAAGTGGGAAGAATGCCAAGAGATTAACTCCTAATTGGGAAAGTGCCTGAAAAACAGGGAACATGTATAGTGATTTCTACCTGGAGGACTACCTAGTGATGTGCTCAACAGTTTCAGCGCTCTCATTGCTGTTCAGTTGCTAAGTCATATCCGACTCTCTGTGACCCTATGGACTATAGCATATCAGGCTCCTCCATCTTCCACTATCTCCCAGAGTTTGCACAAATTCATGTCCATTGAGTTGGTGATGCTATCTAAGCAAGGTTACAAAGAGCTGTCTAAATGAGGTTGCATGCTAAGTAGCTTCAGTCATGTACAACTGTTTGCAATGCTATAGACTATAACCATCCAGGCTCCTCTGTCTGTGGGATTCTCCAGGCAAGAATACTGGAGTGGGTTGCTATGCCTTCCTCTAAGCAAGGTTAAAAAGGTAATATAAGGGAAATCTCTTTTTGAAAGGTCATGACAACACTTCATCAAATTCTGAGCTCCTGGGAATAAAGAGGATAGAGTCACATGTATCCCAATGTTCACTGCAGCACTGTTTACAGTAGCCAGGATGTGGAAGCAACCTAAATGTCCATGACAGATGAATGGCTAAAGAAGATATGGTAAATATATATAATGCAATATTCCTCAGGCATAAAAGTGAATGAAGTTGGAACATTTGTAGAGATGTGGATGGATCTAGAGTCTGTCATGCAGACTCAAGTAAGTCAGAAAGATAAAAATATTATATATGAATGCATATACATGAAATCTAGAAAAATGGTACAGCAGAATTATTTGCAGGGCAGGAACAGAGATGCACATATAGAGATCAGGCGTGGACGCAGTGGTGTAAGGGGAGAGTGGGATGAACTGGGAGAAGAGCATAGATACATTTATACTACCAGGGGTAAATAGCTAGTGGGGAGCTGCTCTATAGCACAGGGACCCCAGCTTGGTGCTCTGTCATGACCGAGAGGGGTGGGCTGGGGGTGGAGGAGGGATGCTCAAGCAGGAGGGGATATATGTATACATATGGCTGATTCACTTTATTGTACCGCAGAAACTCACAGAACATTGTAAAGCAATTCTACTCCAATAATATTAAAAAAACAAAACAGCAACAACAACAAAAAAACAAGCCTGCCACTCGAAGCACTCTTGTTGGCGGGTAGGTGAGATTAGGATTTAGTGTTATCTGGTGACCCTATGGCTTGGGAGACTAGCAGAGATCGAGTATGAATGCCACTGACTGGTGGTCTACCTGAAGATGTGGCTAAATTGGTCAAGGACTACACACGTCTATAGATGTTGTCCAGGAGAGAGTCCTTCATCAAAGGAAGCTGGTGCCAGCCCCCTTCCCTCACCATCCTTATGATACTCATAGAGCAAGATAAGACACAACGGCCACTAGGGCTGACCAAGAAGCCTGGATCCTCGTCCACTTTACTCTTTTTATGTACCCTCATCCTTGCCTTAGCACTTAAGAGAATGGACTGGGCAGAGCAAGAAAGGAAGTGATTAAAAATGGAACACACTGCTTACTCCATGTCACCATGGCCACAGACATTTCAGTCTGCAAAAAAATCTGGAAGTGTATGATTATAGTTTTAAGATTAATAAGAACAAGTAATAAATTAAGAGAAAGCATACAAACAAACCCATATAGTTTCTGGTCAAGATCTAATTTGCAGACCTGCTACAGAGAGGAAAAGGGAAGTTCAATATAGCACCGTGGTTAGGGTGGCATGATAGTTGTTTGAAGAAAAAAGTTTTGTGCTTTTTATTCCAATGAACTGAGACACTTCAATAAACATGTTTTATTAACACAAACAGCATTAAAAGTGAAGGATTACTAAAAATACTATAATTAACTAATTGGTTGAGCACCTACTTTGCAGCTAAGTATTATACAATGTTAGCTCATTTAATTCTCACAACAGCTTTCCAGGGTACTTATTTTATTATTGTTTTAAGAGATGAGGATATTGAAATTCAGAGGAATTAAAGACCTTGCCAACGTTCCCATGACTAGTATGTATAAAATTTAGAATTTAATCTCACATTCCATTTCCAAGGTGATGGCCTTTCCTCTAGGTGTGGTGTTATTATACATAGATATTCCACATATACAGGCTTCACAGGTGGTGTGAGTGGTAAAGAACCCACTCACCTGCCAATGCAGGAGATATAAGAGATGTGGGTTCGATCTCTGGGTCAGGAAGATCCCCTGGAAGAGGGCACTGCAACCCACTCCAGTATTCATGCCTGGAGAGTCCCATGCATAGGAGGGTTACAAAGAGTTGGACATGACTGACGCGACGTAGTACACACACACACATGCACATATACACATATGTATGTACATATGTAACACACTGATATATACATATACACAGTTCTTTAGTAAAATGTGTTATTTCTTTTCATTTCTGGGTGGTTTCTAATGCATCTGTGTATGGTACTAGAAGAAATATGAACAACATATCAAAGCTGAAGTTATTTAAGAGATTAAAGTGGATAACTGCTTCAATATGGAATATGTTATACACACAGGAGGAAAACCTTTGTTTAATTTGGATTGCAACAAAATACCATACTTAAAAGTCAATTTACAGCCTTTGTCAGCAGGCACATCCAAAATACCACAAGAAACTTCTTTTTTAAAATACATGTAAGACTTTTTAGCACAAAAGGAGCTATTTTGACCATCAATGAAGGGATGTAGGACAGCCAACTTCACCATGAAAAGATGTCAGCATTGTTGTATGTGGACAAGTCACATTATGTGAAGCCAAAACATCTTCATGTTAAATGAGGACTGGCTTTTAACTACCAACACCCTGGGCAAATGCTGGGGAAAGACAGAAAGTTTTATTCAAACCATCTGTAAATAAGGCAAGCCCAGCGAATGTGTGATAAACATGTACAGTTTGAAGTATGTAATATATTCTATTTGAAAACAAAAAGCTATTTCAAGATGCTGTACTCAAGTGGGACTTGCCACAAATAAGCCTCAACTCCCCTCAATTTTCCCCCCTGAGGAGTTTCAATGTCTTCTGAAATAATGCACAAGTATATGGCTGCGAATCACAATACTCTAGGCTCCTGTAAAAATGATGCCTTCATAAACATGTTCAAGAGAAGAGAATAATTCCATCAATTTATGAAAGCAGGTATTTATACAGTTTACCACAAAACATTTGCCAGGCAAAAGATGAAAGGGAGAAGATACATACCTTCGATTTTTTGCTAAAACTGGCATAGCCTTAATATTTTGTATGATTAACCATTCCCCAGTTTTTAACAGACAAGATATTTAATCTTCCTTGACTTGTTTTCCTTCCAACTATATCATACTCAGTTCATCTATACTAAAGAGATATCAGTGAATTTCCTATTCCACACATGAAATTTACTTTCAAAAGATTTTTTTTACTAAATATTAACTACAGTAAATGCAACAGTATCAGATACTTCTGAAAACAATATATGCAAATACATTATATTATTTTCATAGTCTGAAAATAGAGATGAAAGATTATTATGTTAGTCATCTAGTTTATCTAGTTTTAGACAAAAATGGAATACCTCAGAAGCTCATTAGATGCCAGAATTGTAATATCCACAATAATGCA